CCCCGACCCGCCCCCCGAGGAGCCCCGGGCTGGACGGGGCCCTGGTGCTTGCTCAGGTGAAGAGCAGAACGTTTCAACTCATCTGTCCCCCAGACCGCAGGGCAGCAAACCCACTCTTCAGCTTTTCGAACGACCCAGCTGAGCTTCCCTCCAGCCCTGCGGCCACCAGGGTGCAAACTGCGCTTGAGCCGGGCAGGAAAAGCACCTTCCCAGCGCCCCCCCGGGACAGCACAGCCCCCCCACCTCCTGTCACTCCTCCCCACCGTGTATCAGATATTTGTGTTCTGATCTGCAGGTTTCTAAAATAACTCTTTGTCTAAATGCTCTCTTTATCCTCCTCCTGGCTTTCCTGTGCATTCACGTTTCTCTCAGCCTTTCCAGCTCCTTCATTGCTCCCCTCCCTGGCTGAGCAGAAGCCCACCCTGCAGGTGGGCACCCCACGAAGCAGCACCCAGCCTGTCTGCCTCACAGAGCCACCTCAGCTCTGGCAGATTCTGAAATTTCCTTTTTCCTCTGATTCATTCTAGACTTTCCCAGCCTTTCATTTTTGCAGCTCTCTCATTTTCCTGAGGTGCAGTTTTTCCACTGCACAGCATCAGGTCTTCCCAAAGCCTGACTGAAGGAGGCGTCAAAGCAGCCCCAGAGACAGAGGCTGATCCTCCCGTCTGCAAGAGAAGAGGCACGGAATAAATAACATCACATGTTGTGTTGGAAGTGAGAGACTGCACCTCTCTAGGCAGCTCCAGGCAAATTCACCTCAGCCAACTTCTGTGGCACCAACTACAGAGCTAAGTCAGGCTGCAGTCCCAGAGTAAAGAGAATAAATGGGAACATGGTATTAAGTTGATCTGCAGGTGTGGGGAGTTCTAGTCACAGGTGTGCACCATAAACCAGCAGCACTGCCAGGGTGGTTGTCTGGGACAGCCCAGAGGACAAGCACCAAGGGCCTGGGCTGGCAGTCAGGCCCAAAGCATCCTCAGAAAACCAGGCTGGAGCTGGAGGAGTCTCTGTGCCTGTCCTGCCTCCAGCACAGACACCACCTAAGAAATGCAAACTCCAAAATCCAACAGGAGAGAATACAGACCCAGTGTGGATGGAAAGCCAGGCAGCTGATGGCTCCAACTCTCTGTCCCATGAATCCATCGTAGTATTTGATATTGTTGATCAGCTCTCCATTTCCATTGTAGATTGCAGTGAACTGATTCATGGAGCCACTGGAATGGAGGGAAGATGGTGTCACTGCCAACATTGTGGTAACAGTGACAGTGTTGCCTACAGCTCCTTTCCAGCTCTGTTGACCTGAGCTGTTCATCAGACCAGTGTGGGATGAGTTCTGGTAAGTGGGAAGACTTACTTTAACTGTACCATGGCAACCTGAGCACAGAGATTCACAGACATGCTGGAACCACAAGCTCCCTGTCACACTGCAGGAGTGTGACAAGCACAGGAAGGGTTGATGCACATCCCTCAATAGCCTCCAGGACATGAGGCTGTGGAGCAGCTGCTGGTCCCCACTGAGAGCCCAAAAATAGAGTCTGACTCTGGAAAGGGAGTGTTAGGACCATACCCCAGCACTGCAAGTGGCCAGTGCAGAGGTTTCATTAATGCATGTGAGGGATAAAATTCTTCAGCTGCCAACCCAGGGAAGAAGCTGCACTGTTTGTGTTAAAACAAACAAAACAACCCCCAAACCCCCATGAGTGATGTCTGCAGGGACAAACTGTCCTCTCCATCCACCCCAGGGATGAAACCAGAACTTACCATGCAAAGAGGTTGGCTTGTGGGTGAATGTCAAGGGCCGTCAGCCCTTTGACTATCTGCAGGACCTTCATGGACTCAGGCATCCGGGGGTCAAAGAACCGCACGTCCCCGTTGACGCTGCCAAGACAGGAGTGCCCTGAGGTCAGGCTGAGCCCCAAGGTCAGGCTGAGCCCCAAGGTCAGGCTGAGCCCAAAGCACAGAGCCACCTGCCTTCCTGTGAGCTGGCACCTCCATCAGAAAATCAGGGCAGAGAAGACAGGCAGCCTCGCCTCCCCTGGCAGCACAGCTGAATTCCCACTGATGTCACCTCCATCTGGTACCATTCACAAGGCACCAGGAGCTCAGCCCCTGCCCACAGCCATAAGCCATCACTGCTTCCATTGCACACAGCTCACGGCCGTGCCTGCCCAGCTCAGTCATACCCAATACCCCAGGCTGCATGTCAGACCCTGGTTCCTTCTCCTTTTCCAGCAGGAAATTGTATTAGAATACTCCAACCAGATGGGACCTGCTGGTACCATCCACGATGCCCAGTGTCTGGACATGGATGCAGGAGCCCTTGCTGCCCAAAGTACGACACTCAGGAGACGTGTCAGGCCCCCTGAGGACTTCACCAGGGAGACAGGGTGGGAAAGCAAGAGTGGCAGTGACAGAGGCTCTGCTTAGTGGATCAAGCACCTTAAGTCTCTTATGGAAACTAAATTTAAAAATCAACTCATCTGCTCTTATTGTGCTGGCTTTTGGCACCACGACTTCTAAAGTGTTTGGTTTCTTCCCAAGTTGCTGAGGCCACACACCCAGGAATCAGCCCCGAGACAAGAACAAGGAAAGCCCTGAGCAGCACGTTGCCTTTCCTTTCTTTACCTCTAGAATATCTAATACTGATCAAAAGGCTGTTACACAGGATTACTTGTATCACCACAAGAAACTGCAACTCCAGCTGTCACATAACTAAAATTCAAGACAAATTAAACTTGAGGTTGATTTAGATCCAACAGAGTAGATGGAAATATTATTTGAGAGAGACCAAATATGCAGTAAATTAATTGAAAGCTTTAAACCTTGATAAGACGTGAAAATGGTTCTGAATGGATTGGAAGACCATGCAAGAGGTTTAAAGCTACACGGGAAAACACATCCCAGCTGCAGCAGAGTACCCTCAAGATTTTCAGGAAGTAGTTAGATCAAGATCTCCCTATGTCGTAGCAGTGGTTTTTCTTGGACCTTGCCATCAACTGAAGAAGAAAGTGAACTGGGAGAAACTGAGAGCAAGGTGGCTTTTCTCAGCAAACCCCGTTCCTCTGGGTTGGGACCAGACCTGTCTGTTGAAGTACAACCTTCTCTTGTACCTTTTAAATCCTGAGAGAAAGCACCACAAGCTGAGAAGGGCACCGAGGAGAGGGGGAAAAAGAGCCTTCAGACCCAGGCTGGCCAAGCTTAGAGGCCTGACCCCTGGGATTGTTGAAGGAGATTACAGAAAGGAAGATTAAAAACTCTAATATGTGAGCCCAACAAATCTGGCAGCTGCATCACATAATCCCCTTTCTGAAAATCTTAATACATTTTTGCTGGCCCACCTCCCCCCCTCCAGGAATGTTCTGAATCCCAGAAAATTGTGTTTTGTTTTCATTTTGTAATCAAGAAAAAGAGCCTCTTTGTGTTCAAACAGTGGCTTTGTGACAATAAATTATATTCTGCTGTTCTTTAATGGCCAAATAAGTATATGCTGCTCTCTCTGCAGAATTTACCAGGCAGCAGAAATGGATTTATGTGTAGAAAATTGCTAGACAGCAAAGTAATCCTGCACAGCAATATGCCCGACAGATGCAACACCAGCCTTCCTGCTTGTGTTCTTCCTCCAATGACCCCTTGGAGATGTTGGCAATAAAGAACAGCCATAAGACACCCTCAGCCCAGCTCTCTGCTTCACTCCATTCCTCCCTCACATGCCTCGTGACAGTGATTTCAGCACAGACGCCTTCTTGTTTACTCAAACCTCACTAACAGGCTTCCAAGGAAAGCTTCACATTTCTGCCTTCTCTCCACCAAGCTTGGAGCAGGAGTTAATGACACAAATGTCAAACTAAAGAACTTTACCCTCTTAGCCCTTGAACTACGAGAGGCAGATTTGGAACAGAAAACAACCTCGTGTTTAAGAGAAAACATCTCCAACAGTCACATCTCCCTCACCTGACGCTCATGATGTTGCCCTCGGGGTGTTTCTGCAGGTAGGCCTTCACCACCCAGGCCGTGTGCTCCCGGTAGGTCATGACACGGCTGAGGAAGAAGGAGAGAAACATTGTGAAGGGGAGGAGGGAGCAGGGGGGTCCCAGGCAGCCGGGGAGGGACGGGCAGTTACCACTCGCTCAGCGCCATTCGCCGGTCGAAGACGCGGATGGAACCGTCCCCCAGCCCCGCCACTATCAGGGAGCGATGGGAATCGCAGGAGAGGCTGGTCACGCAGCTGTCTGCTCCGGTGGGGATGTCCTAGGGGAGAGCACACAAAAGCCAAGATGAGACCACAGTGTGTCTTCAAGGCACTAGAGTCAAGGTGCTAAACCAGACGGACCCTGTGTCCTCCTCCTCTTCCTTTCCCCAGCCTGTAAATCCATCCAACACTAAACCAGTTTCCAGCCGTGACGCTGCCTTGGTGTGAAGCTGCTCCTCAGGCTCCAGGGACATGACCAGAAACAAGGGGTGGGAATCCTGGGGACAAGGGACATGCCTGCTGCCCTGCATTCAAGCCACAAGTGCCATAGATCAACCCAAAGAGCTGAAGGAACTCCAGCAAAAGCAGCTCTGGCAAATCACAGCTTCACAAAGCAGAAGGAAGACAAGGGCTGTTTGAGGAAGGAGGAGTTCATATCATTTTCTACTAAGAACATCTAATTAGTTAAAACAAATGGCCAGAGGAGTTATTTCTTGTAAATCACCTTTGTTGTGTACACATTGTAAATGTCACTGGAGTGGCAGGAGGGACAGGATATATTTAGAGGAGAAGGGTCATGTGAGACAAACATACCTGTGGAAACTCATCATGGCCCAAATAAAACCATGAAAACCAAACGTACAGAACACTATAGGTAACAACACACACACACAAAAAGGTGCAAAACTGCAAGGTATTAGTCCTTTTCATTCATCAAATGAAGACCCAAAGAAGCTCCAGGAAGTTATTTAAATGCCAGCCAGAGCTGTGCCACCACGGGGACATGGGACAAGCAGATCCAGGGCCTCTCAGAAGCCAGACATTGTATTAAAAAACACCAACGATGTGGAAGGAGGAGGCTGGAGCTGGCCAGGCCAGCTGTGCTGGGAGCACAGGGCCCCCCAGCCCTGCTGCTCTCCCACTTTTCACTCGCTATGACCAAAAGAATTGCTTGGAAAATGTCTGTGCCTGCTAGCAGGAAAAACATTTTCAACTGAAACGGGGAAAAGAAGCAGGATATCAGTCAGGAGGCAGGCTGGCAATGCATCAGCTGATTTCACACCTCAATCCTGCTCCTGGCTCTGTGCACATTCCCTGTTCCCAGCCACAACTCAGGGGCTCAGCCGAGCGAAGCTGGGGGGGCTGGAGGCACCGGCTGGGGCTGCCCCCCCACCTCCTGCCTTTGAAGCAGAAGTGAAAA